AAGTGGCCGACATATCCAGAGCTGCTCTAGTCCCTGGGCTGATGAGCTCTCCCAGCTGGGTAAAGCTCTGTCAGGAGCCAGTTTATAGTGAATTGACTCTAGGAAGAAAATATAAAAGCTCATGGGAAACATGAGCCTGACACAGGAGCTATTTCTTTTCAGGTGGCATTCTAATCTAAGTGTGCGGTGAATCACTACAGCAGAAATTGACTGGACCTCACATCTAACAAGTATTGACAAATATGAAGAAGTTTGTTTTGAGTTAGTAATATAAAGGGTCTTTTATATATATGGTGCATTACAACGGGGTGATTCAGGGCTTTCTCAGACTGTCTATAAAAATAAAAAAATTATATGCTTGTAAGATTTCAGAAGAAAAGGTACAGTTTCTTTTCCCTGCATGTGGCAATTGGCTGAATAATGCATCATTTTGTCAACTCTTATAGAGCAATCGATAAATGCCCTACGGTGCTCCCTGCACACAGGAGACAGGAATGAAGATCATTATGGAAACAGGCTTGAAACTTGCTTGAAATAAAAAAATCCCAGTTCTATATTTGTGGTTTTGGAGGCCTGGGCTGTTTTTCTCTTCATTCTAGAGTAGCTGTAATTCATCTTGTTCGATTTGAGTGAAATTCATCATGTTTCCAAGGCTAGTATGAAACCCTTTGCTTCCAAAACTCCAAGGAGATTTACCAAGAAAGTATAGTTGTTGTTATGTTCATCATCTAAACTTTCCAAAGTCTCCACTAGAACTCAAATGGAGAGTTGGTAGAAAATGAAAACTAGAGCTTATAGTTGGGAATTTTTTTTGTCCTTGATTTTAATTGTTAACACATATTTGTGCTAAGCCTGTTTTCCCTTTTCTGATCATACTCCTCAAACACTTAAGCAATCAAGCTTTACTGGCTCGGTTTTTCAGCAAATAAATTTCAAGGATGGACAGGTAAATGCCTTTGGAAAATGAGCTTTAAATGTGCATAAGGAAGTAATCATGTTAGAATTTCAAATATCTGAGTTTAAACTATTAATTTGTCTATACTAAAAATGTAATTTCACAACTACATTTGAAATCCAAATATTCTGAAGATTCGACTTAAAAGTTATGAAATATTCTGACTCTTTTTGTAACAATTCTGTGGCATATTGGAAAATGGGAGAACAGTATCTTTATTTTGAAACACAAGATTGGGTATGACTCTCTTAATCGTGCCAATGCTTTTTTTTTTTTTAACAGACTCTTGATAAAACAATGACCACAGAATACTCCTGTAACTCTTCAGACCGTGTTTACAGCCAAGACGGTGAGATAAAGAACACTGCTTGCAGCTTCTACCTTTTAAAGTGATTTTAAACCCTACCACTGTTACTAATCCTTGCATGCTCCCAGTCCTGCAAGTTTCCAAGCAGTGAATTTCATCAGTGCAGAGCAGTTAAAGTGTGTAAGTCAAGTCACAGCACCTGCCTTTTCATGCTGTACCTACCGGCACTGCAATCCCTGGGAAGGTGCACTTTAGTTTCTTATTTGCTTTCAGAGGTGATTTCAGTAATGAGCAAAGTTGCATCATTCTTTTTCGTGTGAGGAGACATGTAATACCTCATTAACACTTTTATCAATTCCGGTGTCTAAGTAGGTACAGGCAAAATAGTCAATCAGTGTTTTTTCTACCATGTCCCAGTCCCCTTATAAAAGTTTTTCAAGCCAAGCAGAACAGTTTGTTATCTAAAAGCTTACCTTGAAAAAACAGATCACTGCATACAAGTAGCAGGGTTTAAAAAGGGGGGGGGGAAAGAAACAGATTTGTTGTTCCAAGAACAATGATTTACATTAAGAAGCAATTAAACATATTATTCCAACCACCCCTATTCTTTAAGTTTGAAACAGTCTGGAGTTTTAAAGTCTCAGAAGATATCATCAAAATAAGGACTACTGTGTCTTTCTGACTTTTCTTACACCTCTAAGGCTGCCATTTAAGGCAGTAACTGTGTGTTAGAGGTTGACCAAATACAGCATAAATATCTTGACTGAGATGATCTCTATTTCTTACAGTTAAGATGGCAACAAGGGATAATTTGAAGATGATCTGTAATAAGAACAAAGAACTTCAAGTTTCAAACCTCCTTAAAAAAGTGGACCCGATTTCCCCCCAAAAAATGTGTGTACATTCCTTAGTCGAGTTAATTTAAAGTGTGATAATCAATCCTCTCACTAAACAATAGTTGCTGTTCTGTTATTTGTCTTATTGTACACAGGAACTCGTGCAAAACTGAAACAGCAATGTGGGTCGGTTGTTAAGGAGCTTGTAGATCTAAAATTTGAGCTCAGGCCACAAGATCACATGTACAGGAACAGAACTGATTCTTTGATGCATTGTGACCAACAAGTTAAAAATTTGCTTAGGAGAGATCATTAAATCCCACAGAATACATTGATTCCTTTTTTGACTTCCACTTAGTCATTATACTTTTTATTAATAACTTATTTTTCTTTGAAAACGGGAATAAAAAGAGCTGAATCTTTGTTAAAGTTGCTTCATTTTGAATAAACTGAAAAAAACACTGGAGTTTGGCTTAGACTGAAAGATTTTTTCTTTACCATATGTTTATGACACTGATAAGAATTTGTTTCTAATTACTCATGGTAATAAATCTTTTTCTTGCTGCACACAAGGTTCATCATTCTGAACATGAGCCCCATAAAAGTGCCAGCAAACCCCCCATATTAACATAATCTCAGTTTCCAGTGTTAAATCCTAGGAACAAAAAGGGCATATGTAAAAGTTCTCTCTCTATGTTTGTAGATGTGTTTGCAATTATTCATTACTGGCTGGAGCAAAAGTCTGGATTTGAATTCCAGTTCCAGGCCCCTGGCAGAATGAACAGCACGAGTTCATTGCTAGAGCTCAGTTTTATCCTTGCTGCTGCTGGGTTTGTTGCTTGTCTTGTGACAGGAGGAAAAAGCTTTGGCTAGGATCAATACACCATAATCATCTCCACCAGTCCCACAGGGAAGGTGGCTCCATGCTTAGAAGGCAAATTTGTATCTACCTGTGCAGTTACTCTGATTTTAATAGTGAATTACTGAGGAAGGAAACAGAAGGAGAAAAAAGCCCAGCTTGTTTGTTTGACCAACATGTTAACATGTTACACACAAAAACTCAAAATAGAGCTCTACATGATTTGGGACAGAGACAATTTTGAACACAAAGTTTGCAGGAAGTTAAATGCCTCCCACAAATAGCTCGCTGTGCTCAAAGGGTATTTGATGTCCTGTTTGCGTAGTCTCTGTCGAAGCAATCTAAAATATTCTGTTTCATTTAGGGCCTAGGAAATTGGCACTGATTTCTCCTGAAAAGTGAGAGTTTTGGTTGAAGAAAAGCTTGGTGACACTGCACATCTCTCAGTCTTGCTTATACTCCTGTTTTCCACTTCAAAAGGCAGATACCATACTTTACTCTTTTGTCCAATGTTTGCCTTTCCACTATATTTGTGTCTCTAGAGAGTTGTGTGCTACCCTTGCACCCTGTGTATCAGGAAGAACAAGCTGCTTCACCAGGCTTTTGGTATCCTCTGGTACAGAGGACACGGTGGGGCAAGCAGGGAAGGGATGCTGCCCTGTGAAATCAGTGTGCCTCTGTATGTTGTCCCTAAGGGATAATAACACTGGGGCTAGGGGGGGAGGGAAAAAGGATTCTAGAAGAAAATACCAGAAAGTAAGGTTATGTGCCTCTATCTGGAATTCCAGCCACAGATACAATCAGAGAAAATAGTTCCCAAATTAGTAATGGAAACATTAAGTTGTCTCGTTAGTATCAGAGGTGTGGTTCATAAAACACAGCTGAAGTGTTTGGTCTAATAATACACAAAGAAAGAAAGTGTGTCATCTGAAAGAGGAGGAGTGAACTGTATGGAGGAAATTGCAGTATAGAAATGCCGAATTTAGAAGAAAAAGAATGGGGTAACTGCAGAAGTAGTAGGAGTGACAATTTTGTTCCACTGTTGCATTAGGAAGAAGAATGCAGACTGTTACTGGTAAGGAACAGCAAAGCTGCGTGAGGAGAACCATGGCTCTGGAAAGAGTGTACTTGTGTTCACCTCCATACAACTCGCTTGGAGCCAAGAAACAGAGGAGGTCATGGATACTCCTGTAAGGTTTTTCGGAGCTGCTTTAGGCTTTGGTGCGCCAGGAAGCAAAAGAGCATCACTGAATACATTTAACTCCCAGTAATTTTTTGGTTACATGTAGCAGCAATGGAGTAAGGCACTTCCAAAAACATTTCTGTCTGTAAATGTACATGGATACATTTTTTAAAAGAGAAACAGTCTCTTATACTAGACAGTCTGGTATAGTTAGAGAAAATCAGATAACAGTCTGAGCACACAGGTTAGGTCTTGTTTGGTTATAATCTTAAACTCTCCTGACTGGAATCACACTACTCTTACAAAGTGCAATTATGTCTACAATGCCTGATCTCTTTTCCCTCTTTCATGTGGTTACTGCAAGTGATCACACTCTATATATTTTTCTAGAAATGTACTTCTGTTCTGTGGAGAAACAATAGAAAGGCTGGAAATTTTACATGGAATTCCAAATCTTGGTCCGTGCTACGAAGTTGTACCTTGCAGGGTCAGCTGAAAATGCTGACATCAGTAGAAGTGCTGTTGCTGCACCCTGCTTTTATCTAGTTCCTGCCTTCCCCCTTGTTTTCACTGTTGGTGGTTTTCCAAGGAGGACGACATCTGGATTCTGTCCATGCAAGCACCTTTACATACAGTTACATGTGAGCACTTCCACTGAGAGCAAGAGGATTGGCTTTTGCAGGAATCTGAATAGCAATGAAGTTGCAGAACAGGCCTCCTGCTCTCTGTAGACCAAAACTTCAATTCTTTTTCTTGTGAGGGGAAAAAAAAAGACCTTTTGCCCTTTTTCAGTGAGAAGCTGCGTCTGCTGTTTTGTTCCACCACCGATTCCTTGGCTGGAGGCTCCCATGCTGTGGTACCTTTATGTGGGCCTCCACCATCTCGCCTTTGAAGACGGTAACACCTTATCCCACTGTCTACAAGCAGTAGATATCCCCTGCTATCCTATACACGAGGTCAGCTTTTCTCTGTATTTTGAAAGGAAATACATCTTTCGGCTCAAAGTCATAGTGATTGATTCTTTTCAGCTGACCACCTCCTTGAGGCTTTTCCAGGACCCAGCTCAGGAGAGAGCTGCTAAAAGTCTGACTGTGTGATTTCAAGAGCCAGACTGGCTCCTGAGACCTTCCACAATCACTTGAAGCATTGTGGGTTTAATTCTGCCATAATTACTCACATTGTTAGTATGAAAAAGGAAGAATGGGAAAATTTCTGGTTTTAATGGAGTAAATTGGGCAAATGAAAGAAGGTAAAGGCACGTGTATAATTTAAAGTGACTGCTGAAGTACGTAAATAATAATTCTAGTCATGTTTGCTGGGTGTGCTTCTCGCACAGGAACACCATAGCTGGGGTTGGGGACAGCACTGATAGCAGTGACCAGGAATGGGGGGGATGCCCTTCCATCCTGCTGATATCTGAAGTGGTTTCCATGGCTGTAGTCAAAATAGGAGACAGTGTCCTGGGGAGGTTGGCACGCCAGACAGTTTCTATGGTGTTGGCTAAAAAAAGCAGGACACCTAGTTTTATTTGGGCGTCTGTGCTGTTTCCGAGCAGCAGTAACGAGGGCTGGGACTGATGTGGCAGAGGGGCGGGTGTGGGCTTGTTGTGGCTCCGTCCCTCAGGAGCTGAGGGTGCACAACACAGGATGTGTACCCCGATCAGAGTAGAGGGGTTTGTGGCCCCGCTCTCTGTGGTGAGCCTGGAGGGTGAGCTGCCCCTGGGCCAGGCCATGTCAAGGGCTGATGAGAACAGAGATGTTGTTTGTGGAATGGCAGCAAGCGGGGCCGCGACATGCGGGGCGCCAGCAGCCACCTCAGGGGGGGTGACCCCCTCTGTGTATCAGTGCAGGCAGGCGAGGGTATGAAGAGATGTCTGGAGAAGGGTCTGGCAGAGAAGGCGGCGCTCGGACCGTGCGGGGTCAGGACTGGGCTGGGGGGGGCGGAGGTGGGCTCTGCCCGACCAGGTGGGACTGGGAGGGGGCGGCGGTGACGGCGGCTCCTGCTCCCGCCTCCTCCTGAGGGGCGGTGGCTGCGGCCGCGCGCGGGGAGGCGGTGGCACCCAATGAGGAGCGCCCGAGGCGGGAAACACGGGCCAATAGGAGGCCGCGGCCGTGGCGCGCGCGCGCAGCCGGGGGCGGGGCGAAGCGGAGCGGCGCGCGGGGAGGGGCGGGGCGCTCGCGCGGGGCCGCCCCTTCCCCGCCGCAGTGAGGAGCGAACGGGCGGCCATGTTGTGCGGGGGGAGGGGAGGAAGGAGTTGAGAGGAGACGGCGGAGGCTCCCTCACACATACGGCACAAGATGGCCGGGGAGCAGCCGCGGCTCCCGCACGGCTCCCGGGCGCGCTCCCCGCCGCTCGCTCCAGGGACACCCGGCCGGCGCCCCGGGTGCCGCGCTCGAGGGCCAAATTGGGCCCGACACTCTGGGGGCTCCGGGGCTGCGGAGGGCGGCGAGCGGGGCTGCGGAGAGGAGCTGCGACGGGCAGGCAGCAATGGCGCCGAGGCTGTGGAGCGCTGCCCGCGCCGCTCCCTCGCCGGGCGGGCGCGGGGCCGCCCTTGGCCGCGGGCAGGGCGAGCAGGGGAGTAGCGCCCCGTCATTGGGGCCCCCGGTGCCGGCCAGCGGGCTGCTCTTCGCCGGGTAAGTGCCGGAGTCTCCGCGCTCCTCATTGTCCTTTGTCCTTGGGAGGAAAAACAAAATGTCCTTGGAGCTGGGAGGGGGAGGGGTTGCTGTCTCTCCCTGCCCCCCTCCTCGCCCCCCCGCCGCTCGCAGAGGGGACCCGCGGGGACTCTCGGGGACCCCCACCCGTGTCTTGCCCGCGCGGGGCTGAGGGGGAGCGGCGGGACCAGGGGAGCCCCGGTGCCCCTCGGCGGCTGCGGCGCTCCCCTCCCTACCCTGCAGCACCCGCGGGGCTCCGCACGCCCCGGCCCCGATGCAGCACCGAGGGGACAGCGGCGGCTTTTGGGTCCCCGGTGCGGCACCGGGCACAGAGGGGGCTGCAGAGCGGCTCCCCCAGCGCGGCGGACGAGGGGGGCATCTGCAAACCAGCCTGGAACTCCAATGCAGCAGAGGAGGGAGGGGGGAGAGGTGAAGGCTGTACGACATCATCACTTAAATGTTTAGCCCCGTGTCGGTGTAAAGAGCGTTTGTTGCCGTCGCTGCTCGGATGGGGATATGTTTTCGTAGTTTGTGAGAACAAAGACGCCATGTCCTTTTCTCTTAAAAATAAAACTTGGTGTGGTGTTTTTTTTTTTTTGGTGGGGTGTTGGCTTTTAACTCTTTGTAAACCAGTAAGGAAAAAAAACAGGCTGCGGATGAGACAGATTAGTACTTTGCTGAAACAATAGAGAAGAATTGTCTTCACTTGAAAAACAGCAGTTCAGGTGCAGAACTTTAAAGAAAACTCTTAAGAATTACGTGCAATTTGATTTTGCAATTAAAACGGCAATGCAGAAACTTAGAAGCTCGAAAAAAACAAAGCTCGGTCATGCCAAGTCTACAGTTTAAAGTTGGCAAAATACTACGGTTGTGATTTAGACGACGCTACGAGAAGAAAAGGTAGCTACTTAAATATGAATTACACGATAAGGAAACGGATGAGTTTGTGTGTTACGTGGAAAGCTTTTAAAAACGTTTCTTGGGTGTCAGGTTTGTTTTTTGTTTTCAGTTTATGCGTTTTTCAGAGACCTCACAGTCATTTCTCTTTACGAAGCGTTTTTTATCGTCTTTTTGGTGCTTAATAAATTTAGAAGTTTTTAGTATTGCAAGACTTTCTAAAAATGCAAGTTTAAATGGAATGCCTGACGTTTGTTATGCATTGGCTCGCATTCAGCAATTACCAATTTAAGGGCAAAATTGTAATTCTGAATGTGTAAAAAGTCGCTGTGGTAGAGCAAGAGGTAAATATTAAGAACTTTAGTTTTAATTGGAGCTTATGTATAGCCATATTTGTTGGATTTCTATGGTGTACACTTGAGCAAGGTTATAAAACTCCGCGCAGGTTTTAAACATTGCAGTTGGAGGTAAATCTACATTTTTCGGTACTTCCTCTGCAAATGTGAATCCGTCAATGCAACAATACAAGTTTGCCCTTTTTTGGAAATAGAAATACAGGTTTTAGCAACCGCTGGACTTCTCCACCTTTATGCAAAGTGTTCAGTGTCTTTATTTTAGATTTGGATTGTGGTGGTTTTATAACCCCAGCAACAGTTCTGCAGTATAGAACAGGTTCTGGCATACACACTTTGCCCTAAAGAAAGTTCTAGCTTTAGGTGGGTGTCTGCTGGATTTCTCTTTTCTTAAATATGTTAGGGGATTTTTTTTTAAATAGCTTTGACTGATTTCTTTTAACAACTGAAAATAAAATAGCAAGTAATTGTCTCAGAAAATAAATTCCTCCTAATTTGTAATGTGTTTTGTTGAACAGTTCTACTTTTTTACATTTAAGGTGTAGGAATTTGAATTTATATTTGGATACCTTTTAATTTAGCAATGAACATTTTTTAAAACTGTGTCTTTACCGAATGATTCCAGACTTCTTAAATATGAAGTAGTGGTGATGATAAATATAACTGCTGTAAAATAAAATAACATTTTTGCCTTAACAAAAGGCAAGAAAAGTTGGCTAGAGGTAGTGCAAATATAGTGTTCCTTGTGCTAAAGACCATGGTTTGAGATCTCATTAAAGGTTAAAGAAGCTGAAGGCTTTAAAACTGTATTCTGAAGGGCAAAAAAGATGAGTTTTTTGGGGAGATCAAGCAAGTCAGGTCTTAAAATTCAGAGAAGCTGATGACAGAAGCCATTTTGAAATAACTTTGCTATCACTAAAGGTTTTATTTAATTTTGCATAGCCTACTTCTAAAGACTTTAATGTGAAAAAAGTACAAGGGGTGAGGGGTATTGGGTGATAAGTTACTCAATAAAAAAATCTTAAATTTGCATTTGATCTCTAAGTCTTTCAAAATTAAAGTAATGGAAGACAGAAGAGCAGATCGCAGTTATTCATGAAAAACACAGATCATGTGTGTTGTATGTCAGTCACTCTCATCTCCAGTGTGTTTTTCTTCAGCCAAGAATGTACTTTTATTTTTAGAGTTGAGTTCTAAAGATACAGTTACTGCTATCATAAGTTTTTCTTGACTTAATAATTAGCTAAAGATCAATACACTTCAGGCATGTGACTTGTTCTGCTTTTCTAAAGCAAAATGCTGAAAATTTCCATATTTTTTTTTTCAGGTAGAATGCCATGAACAATATCTTATTTTCTGACTGGCTTCAGAGGAATCGTTCATGACTTATTTTCTCAGGTAAGAGTAGCTATAACTTGTGGTAGTATGTTCATTTCCTTGTTATTTTTTTTGTCTTGAAATTTGCCTTTTTGCTACTGTACAGATGGGAAGAAAAAAAAATCTGATTTTTTTACATGGAGGGGATACATTTTGTAAAGTATCTGGACTTTTAGAAAGCTGCCTTTTTTTTTTTTTTGCAGATAGAGGTAGACTGTCTTCAAATAATGTCATGTTTATTTCCTACTTCTTTATAAATTTTAGTTTACCAAGACTATTTGTTAAGTGGATTGTTATTTTTATAATTTGTGTATATACATAGATATGCCTTGTATTTCCTTGGAAGAGGACAGTATTTTCATATAAATCCATTTCATTAAATGTCTCATTTTGCCAGTGAGAACCTGCATTAAACTTTGATTGCATTTTGTACTTAATGAGTTTGTAGCATTAACGGTTGGGGATATTGTAGAACTCATATTTGACAGCAGTAACAGCAGTACCACAAGACTTCAGGTATTTGTGGAGGAGATTTTTGGGGCCTGTTTCTTGTTTTTGGGAACACAAAGGCTAATCCTTGGCAAGGATAGAATATTGTTATTATACTGTAGATAACACTTTTATTAATTGAAAGACACCCTACATGTTTGCAGAAAGTTTGTCAGTCAAGAACATCAGGACTATAGGTAAGATCTGTGTGTACCTTGTTTTCAGACAAACTTGGTTTTGTTTTTTCTTTTTTTTTTTTGAAGGCTGTCACTGGATATTGTTCTTCCAAAGATTCAGATGACTGGTTGGGTAAAAGACCCTGAACAAAATTCTGTACTGTTCGTGCCAGGTATGTTATACTGTGTTGTGGCTTTTTGTTTGGTTTGTGTCTTTTTTTTAAAAAATCTATGCTGGAAATAATTTTTTTTCAAAATAAACATTAAACATTTAAGCTCCAGTGTTTTACCTTGTTGAATTTATTTTCTTTCAAGCTTAGTGCATTTGAAAACTGTTAGTAAGTACTGACTGCAGCAATGTTCGTGTCTCCCGCACCTTCAAAGATTTTTATGGTCACTCACATACAACTTTAACAACCTGCAGTGACCATGTTGGCACGTAGTAAAGCCAGGCTGTGCTCTGAGAATTGCCATCTCCTAAGGACATTGTCTAACCACACTTCAGAAATGTTTTTCCTTAGTTGAAGGTATTCATTTATTAGCTAGGGACACTCATAAGCTTTTCCTTTCCAATAAATTGTTTATACAATAAACTCAGAAATTCTCTTTTTGGTGTAAATTTGACACTAAAGCATTACGAGTTATCTTGCTCTCTTCCTTGCAGTATAAACAAATGAGCTTTCTAATGTTTATTATTTGTTTTTACACTTTAAAATTCTGCATTTAGAGTCAGAGTAACACGTTTCCTTTGAGTCAGGCTTTCACCACTGTGTAATTAAAAGCTGGAGAGCTTGTTTGCCTCTCTGAACTGGTTCCTTTTCGCAGCTTCCCATGCTCAGCTACCTCAGTGCGTGCTCAGGACCTCAAAGTGTAAGACACCTGTATCAGGAATCCCAAAAATACTCTTGATAATTTGCTTTTTAAAATTACATAATTGATCATGATAATTAAAGAATACAGTTGTGAACCCCTAACTGAGTGCAGCTGTTTTCTTTGGCTTGGATGAAGCCTTCAGTCCGTTCATGTAAAAAATCATGGGCCAATTTTGCAAAGCTTTATAAAAATATCTCTCCAGGTTGTAATAAACCTTTATCTCCAGTGAGTCACTGCTGATGTGCAAGGCAGAATTCAAATAATATTTACAGACAATGGACATGTCCATCATCATGGATGTCCTGCAGCAAACACAACTAATGTGCATAAATGTATGTGTCAGTATGTTCTAGAACTTTGTTGTGTAACTGTCTGATGGGATCGGTGAGAACTAAGAGTTTGTGTTTAGAAATGATCTCATACCTTAAGAACAACGGAGCATATCTGAAATCCCATGTGAGTTTTCAGTTTAGAGGGTCCAAATCACAGATATTGCACAGTCTATTACAATAAAGGCAAGACCAGTCTGATGATAATGAGGAGACTGAGCCTGTCAGACCCAAGACTTGTGTTCCTAATGTTATATCCTGAAATGTCTAAAGGTGCAACTTTTAATTGACCTGGTCTTCAAAAAATAGCAAAATTAAATATTAAAATTAAACCCCACAGTGTCAGGAGCAGATCTTGGCTGACCTGCATGTTCCATGATAAATATGAAATTGAGCACTTCAGTCTTAATCAGATCTTCAGTCTGCACCTTTCCTATGTTGTCCTGATGCTGTTTGTGCTGAATAGGTATTAAAATAAAGGCAGTTTTACCTGTCCCTTGTTACTTTTCTGAGCTCTTTGGAGCTGCCTTTTCTTGGAAGAGCCATATATGTTCATCTAGCACATGGCAGCTTGATCTCTGCGTTAGGTAGACCTCAGTAGGTCAGATGCACACTACTGGGACTTGAGGGAAGTTTTAACTTTATGGCTGCCCTGCAGCTGCTCATGGGGGTTGAGGAGGTCAGGAAAGCCTCTCTGGTTGAGTCCCAATAACCTTTTCAGTAGAGGAAGCTGTTCCTCTGGGGATAGGAAGCCATGTTAAGTATTCTTATAGAATTGCTTTTTGTAGCTTTGACATCTTATATGGAAGAGCGTTGGTGTGGTGATATATGTCATCTTTACCAAAATACTAATTAATCCCAAGAGAGAATCTGATATCAGGTAATAGCTTTTGGGTGTCTGACCTCACTGTTTATGTAAAAGGAGATACGCTGTCCTGATGGTTGGAGCCAGCAGTGCCAGTCTTGGTGTGAAGGAGCCATGGACCTTTGATTCAGGGTGTGTTCTGTGTGCCGGAGGCTGTGCTGTACTTACAGCATCTGTAATTTTAAAATAAATATAAGCCACAGCTATTAGACTACCTAAAAAAAGTAACTTCATATTTATTTTTAGAGAGAGGTGGAATTTTTTTAATCACATGGGCTACAACAGTTACTGCAAGTAGTCTGATTAAAAGACTTTGATGTTTATTAAATATAGGAAATATAGATGTTAACCTGAAAAGTTAATTCTTTTTCAACCAAGACTTGTATTTCCAAGCTCTATGGTTTGTGGCTCTGGGCATAAACTCCAGGTTTTGTGATTAATTCTGTAGTTTGGTACTGATTGTTTTTTGGATGTTAAAATTGGAAAACTCAAAAATACAGTGGTATAGTTTGTAATAGTGGAAAAATAACTTGTGTGAATGAAATGTAATGTGTTATCAACATCTTGGTGGTGTTTTTACAAAACTCATTGTTTGGTTCACCTGTTCGCTTGCAAGTAGAGAAGTGTCACTACTGCTGAGCGGTACCATTCTGGTGAATATTAGATTGCTTTTGCAAAATGGTGCTGAGGTCAGAACACAACTGGGTCGAGTCTTTGTCATTAGAAGAAGCTGCTCTGTGGTGACAGAAGGCCATATTAAATATCCTCATTAAAGTTTCTGTGAAACTGCTGTAGCTGTGTGCTCCCTCTAAACTAAAGACAACAGGAACCAACTTGAATGCAGGTGATGAATGTGTAGCTGTGCTGTGAGTTATTAAAGACAGTTGAGAGCTGTAAATTGAAAATCTTGCAATCTTTAACTGTACCTGTCTTCATATATCAGATCGTAGCTATTCAGTGGCTTTTTTTGATGGAAATGTTACATATAGGGCAGAAGGAGATTTAAAGGGCCTAAATGAATGTATTTACCTGGTTCATTTTTCATGGTTTGAATGACTGGTGGAGGCCTCTTGGATGATCAGAGTTCAGCAGCCATGTTGTGTTTCTTCTAAAATGGTGGATGGGCACTTTGCAGAAGTTCTGTGCTTCCATTTAATAGCAGCTGCTGGAGCACATTTAAATATGTTTTAAACCTTTAAATGTAACATTCCTTTGTATATTCTACATGTTTATGCCAGTTTACTTATATAGTTTTTTGTCATTTCCCCTTTTAAAAGGGATCTTTTTCCATAACAATTTCAAATAAATTACATCAACAAAGAAATGACAATTTTGTTCATCACAGCTTTCTTTCTGTGCATCTGAGTAGATACCAATGGAAGAGAAGAATTTAAAGGATTGCACAGTGTGCTGTCACTGGATAGGGTCATTAATTTTTATGTATTTGAGGCTGTGTTTTAATATAAGTAGATTCTGAGATATCAGAAGAGAAGCAGTTTGCTCATACATGTCAGGAGGATAACTTTTATGGCTAATTTCACGTGGTACAAATTTACAGTAAAAAGGAAGTTCATGAGTTGTTTCAGAGTTTTAGGTCTTAGTTTAATCTTACAACCTTTGTTTAAGATGTCTGTGATTAAAGTTTTGTTGTTGTAGATTGCCAGTAAGCATTTTCCAAGTCAGGGTTTCACATTCGGACCTTGCCCATACAGGGATAATTTTGAGATACAGAGTAGATAATTGGTTCCATATAAATGTGTTACATTATTTGCCCTTCATCCAGCTGATACCACCTCTCAGTAAAAAGGGTATTTTATTTTATCTTGTGAAGGGCAAGTCAGTTTGCTAAAGTTCATTTCCACTTGATGCCTGCCTGAAAAAAAAGGGGTTTTTTTGTGGTAATTTCTCAAGGCATTTGTGTACAGGACTGGGCCTGAATTTCTTGGGTGTTTTGCACAGGTCCTTTGATAACACATTCCCTAGTGATACTTCAAAGTTTTTTATAAAATGTCTTTTGTAGCATATGCTGTGATCTGTAATGCTTGGTTGTTTTTTTTTTCATTTGGGGATAGAACTTGTGTAATACTCATAGGTTAATGCTTGGTCCTTAGGATTTTTTTATTATTTTTAATTTTAATTCAAGTGTTTTAATATCCCATTTTCCCTACAGATGTGTGGAGGAATTGATTTGCTCACTGTAAGCAAAATAGCTGCTCTTGGTTGAAGGACTGGTAAGTTGTTATTCCTAATAACATTTACTTTTTAGCTTTTTAAAAAAACCCAATCAACCAGACAAGGCTCTGATGTTGAACTGGCTGAAGCTTTTAATTGAATACATTCTGAAGGTGGTTGGTGCGTGGCCGTGTGCTCACTTTTTTTGTGTGTTTCAAAAAGACCCCGGGATCATTCCTGCCGGGCTCTAGGAATGGGCAATACTTGGATAGTGCTCTCCCCCTGTCTCACTGCAGAACAGCCTTCACATCTGGCTGGAGTTCTTTGGTCTCCTATGATTTGACTCCATGTTTCGTTGAGAGCTTTTCTATCGTAGGTTTGCTGGTTCAGAAGGGTTGGTGCACAGATGAGTCTCTAGAGAGGCACTGCACGATTTGGGTAACAAATGGTGTGGAAAGTACAGCAGGAAGAACTTGCCTCACATGCATCTTGTTTTTGTCCTTACGCTTCTGTCAGGATCAGTGAGAGTCTTTGAGCAGACAGGAACTGTCTCCTGTTCTACAGTTGTTCTGTTGCTGTTTTTCATTCACAAAGGTCTGGCTTTGCACAAAATGATATGTAATGCCAGTACAGTTTTCTGTTTGTTTTGTTTTGGTTTTTTTTTAAATTAAACTGCTAGCTGATAGACTTCAAATCATTGCTCATATAGTCAAAACACAAAATTGGCAGGCTTGAGTAGAAAAATTAATTCAGTTCTATACTGGATGAATATGGGAACAGAATCTTTTCCAGTTTCCTTAACTAAAAGGAATTTGGTCTTGACCTTTTTTTTGTCCCTGGCACATTTTTTGACTTTCTTGGGAGTTGCCTGTGGAAAGACACAGATCCTTTTGTCTTTCTGGCTGCTTAAAATTCAAAAACGCCTTGATTCTGCATTTTTAATTAGGGCATCCATTGCATTTTGTGTACATGGATTAACTTTTTTTGTGGGAAGCTATATTCCTGTAGCACTGTGCTTTGGAATATATGCATTTCTTTAAAAGAAGCAGTTTCTTAGAGCCAGTTCTTTCAGTCTGACGTGATACCTGATTGAGCAAGGCCTTCCTTAGGCTGCACACAGCTTGGGGAAATGTTCCAAGATGCAAATCCTCTTATTTTAGTGGATAGATGACAGTGATTTTTAGCTGTCCTATGGCTGTGTGTATTAGCAGAGCCCTCCAGCAGCCACTGCCATCTACGTGGCCTCAGGTGCTGAACAGCAGCTGCTCCAAAGTCCTGTGCCTTCTCCTCATCCACTCCCATGATGTGGAGACTGATGTAGAGCTCTAGTAGAAGGGGAGAGGAGTATGCAGGGGTAAAGTGCAAACCTTGCTAGGCCATGTTAGTGTGGCCTTGTGCTGCTTCTGGGTCCATTGCATTTTGGACCAGTTTTATCACTGAGTTCAGTCCTGAAGCAAAAAAGTGGAATTCATGAATTGGAGGAGTTCGGTTTTTGATGCATGTACCTGAGCTTGCTTTTGATACTTATTAGCAAGTATTTAATCTCTTCTACTACTGGGCTCTGTAAGTTTTATTACTTTGTTCCTTCAGAAGTCTTAAACTGTTTTTCCCGCTGCAGGTCTGTGTAGAACAGCATATTTCTTGCCATGTTTCTCCTTCCAGCTATTCCTCAAAACTCTTCCTATGCTATCCACTGACGCCTTTCTAGCCCCCAGTCATCTGCTAGAACCTCTAAAACATGTGACTCATGTTCCATTTTTATATTAATCTTCATATGACTCCTAAATCTTTCTATGTGTATTTTTGTTTGTTTTCTCATTGGGTTGTAAATGAGCTGTTGTCACATCTGGTTTCTTGAGTAGGACTTTGGCCTTTCAGTTACATACCGAGTAATTCTTCCATCCTTTTCTGGTTTATAATCCTTACCTAAAGGAAGGGGGTGAATGTGAAAGCCTTAATTTACTTAAGGAAACAGTTGTCTACAAAAGAAGTTGCTTCAAAAACCAATTGCAAAAGCATCCAAATGTGTGGATCTTAAAAGATCTAGTATTGCCCTCTCTGGTTAGCACAGATAATGTTTAGTTGAAGCACTGATGTTTATTTTCAATTTTTTTAAGAGAAGAGGGAAAATACCTGGAAACACCAAGAGCTTTATTGAAGTTGACATACTTTGCTTAATGCAATAAAGTTTATTATTTCAAAATAACACCCAAAAAAGAGTGCATCTGTGAATAAAGTCACATCTTACCGGGAATTATTCTCTAAATCTGAGAAACCTGGCAAACAGCCTTAGCTAAAAATACCCAAACCTACATGACTTGTGCTTTTACTGCTGTGCTTACAGAACATCTAATGGTGGTAAAAGCAGAATTAGGGCTGTCCAGAGCACTCATGTTCTGTGCAGTCTCTAACAGTAACTCATTATGGACTTTGCTGTCCATAAAGGACACGTCTGCTCTTTCCTCCAGTGTAAAAGTTACCAGGGATGTGTCTTTGAAAATAAAACTTTGCTTTAATGAACTTGGAAACGTAGACCTTGAGGTTTGGTTTGTTCACAACCTTGTTCTGTCTATTCAGCTCCCTTTGTTGGAGTGAATTCTATTTCCAGGGGAGGTCACCTCAGTTTTTAAGTTGAAGCCTCAGATTTCACTCTGGAAAACTTGGTAAATGTATTGGTGTCTTATGCGTGGGTGTTGTATGTGTTGGATTTCTCACACTTGAGGAACAGAAGGTTTCAATAGACCTCAAGTGGCTGAAGCCATGGGTTTGGCCATAAGGCATTGTCTTTCATTGCTATGGTCTTTTAATAGAGCAACAGATAATTGCAACAAAAAAACTGAAGAGAAAAACTTTGTAAATTTTGTTTCGAAATTGTTGCCTTGAACCTATAGTCAAGGTTGGGAATGATTTCTCTCCCTTGGCAGGGAGTGTCAGTGCTCTTTGTCATTCTGACATGACTGCCCAGGTCCCTGATTTTACCATGACCAAAATACTGTGCTTGGAAACCAAACCAGGAACTGGTAGATAACAGCAGCTTGAAAAATGGGCTGATGCCTAATTGATGTTACAGAAGGAATTAAAGACTCGTGACATCTAAGAAAAAAATTGGGCTTTTCAGTGTCTACCTCAAGTTAGGATCACTGCATGTGTCTTAGTGGAGGAAGATGTTTTTATAACATCGTTGAAACTTCTTAGTAAAATGTGCCTTAATTCGTAAGTAAACAACCACTGTGAAATCTTTTAAGCGAAATGTAGATTTCAAAAGCGTAGAGGTTGCTATTAATATTTTGGCTGTTCCTGTGGCATCTTTTTGATGTATGAATAACTTTGAGAATAAGAACGTGTTCTTAATTATAATACATTATCAGGTCTGTTTACTGCTAATTATTTTACAAGGTTGAGAGAAGAGTTTAAGATAAAAGTTGTGGGGTTACTTGCAAAGTTTTTGGTACAACCAATGTAGTTGAACCTGGTAGGGAAATTTGCCCTTAAATGGGTTTTGGCAGATCTCATGAGTGTCTAAGGCAGAGGCCAACCCAACTGGAAAGAGCCTTTCAAGGGTGACTAATATGTAACTAAATTACCTTTTTGAGAGGTGAGGAAAGCTAATGTCAGTAATTAAATTTCCTTATGTTAAGCTTATTAAAAATATAATAATATATAAATATTTAAATTATTTTAATTGTCCTATTTATGAGGTTTTCACTGCACTCACGTTAGTACTTCTGAGTGTTTGATTGTGACAATAATGGACAGCTTTGTGGTGTTTTTTGTTTTTTCCATGCTCTGATACCTTGGTCAAGGCATTAACATTAAAAATCATGCAAAATTTTAATTCATCTTCAAACACAGAAATAGATTTGCAATTAGGTTAATGAGAACGGGGGGGGGAAGAAAAAACCAAGCCCAAAACCAAAGCAACCCCAAAACCTGTTCATTCAGTTTATTGTGGGGGAAAAAATCTTCCAAAATATTTAATACCTGTCTTGACTCAGGATGAGTTGAATGCTTGAAACAAAGCACTTCTGTAAATTTGAATGTTCAGTTTGAGAACGTGAAGATCCTGGGGTTGAATACTCTTAGAGCTGCGCACGTTTCACAGTGCAAAGGGAATTACCAGATCCCATATTCAACTTCTATGTGCTGTAGTTTTCCATTGTATTTTAAACAAGGAAGTCTATAGAGCAACAGTAAACAGGACACATGGGGAGATGTGGAAGTCAGACTGGGGCTTGTTGCACTAGTTCCCGTGCTCTTTGCTTCACTGTAACTGGTCATTTTGAGATGAGACTGGGGAAACTGGGATGCCAAGGCAGAGACCACTAGATGGCCCCACTGGTTTTTGCTGGGCAGTGGGTAATTTCTGCATCACTTGTCAGAATCAGCCCAAGGTTATCAGGGAACAGGGTAGTGTTGAATTTGGCTTTCAGACTAAAATGAGGTTAAACTTACACATATGCAAAAGAATAAATTGATGTTGGAGTGCAGACACTCAAAATCATGAAGACATTTTGAAACCTTTTTTGCATGTAAGTTCTGCAGACAGCACTGGTTTCAAAATGATGTTCTTAACAATTAGTAACTTCCCGTTCTTGAGTTTTGCATGTGAGGAGGAGGAGTAGGGTTTTTCTTAAAGTAAATTGAACTTGTATTTCGTGGAAGATGGAAAGATGGGGATATTGGGTTTGTATTTGCCCATGAGGATGTCGTTTGCTCGGTTTGGTTTCTCATTCATCTGTGGGCTTGGTTGCTGTTCTGTGACGAGTAAAGTTGGAATATGGATGAGGAGCCTTGCTAAAGGCAGCTGGTGTAACTTGTTACCATTTTCATCTGATTTCTGATATGTCCTTTCCCACCAGTAACTAAACCAGTCATTCCATCTGTTTGTAAGTGCATTTGCTGTTGCACTGTATGTCTTTCCTGAGCTGGAAAACTGGGTTAAGATGGTGGAATGTCTTCTCTCCAGTCACCATCTGTCTATAAGAAACCAGTTTTTATGCCTATTACATTGGTTTTGATGGATCTGTGTCTTTGAAGAAAGGAGCGTGGACAGTAGTTACAAATTTTGGCTTATAAGAGCCTTGGTGTTTTACTAAGCACTGTCAGCTTCAGGAGGTGGATCAGTGCAATGAAAATGGTTGCAAGAGCAAATATCTTGGATTTCCCACCAATGGTGTCTCTAGTGGTTTAACACTGAAGAAATTTCAAATGGAATTTATGGAGCATGCAAAGCTTCTTGAACTTCTAATTGTTTCTTCCTTTTTTATAGTTTTGGTTAAATTTTATATTTTTGACTCTTTAACTGATGGTTTGACATTGTTCCTGATAAAAGCAGATATTACGGAATGTGTAATATGGAATGAAGCATCAGCTATATGTTTGAACTATCTTAAAGGTACAGTAGTTGAATGTCTTAGTTTAAAGCTATGATGTGTATTCCAACAGCATTTTTCTTTTAATTTTCCATAAAGAATCCAATCAGATGAAGAGTGTCAAAAGGAGTCTACGAATGAGACACCAAGATGGCAGTTCCACTGGTGATTGAGAGGTTGAGGAAATGGACTAATGCATGAGTGCTGTGATGTGTCTGTCCAAGAAAAGGATGTTAAAACGTGGACTCTCGTGTTATTAAACCAGAGAAGATCTGGGTTGTGATCATCCTATCAAAATGGACTTTGCACTTGAATTAATCAGTGTCTATCCAATGATGGATCTGTTTGAGGACTGGGTGGCAGAATTTTCCTTTCAGATTGTGTTTGCATAACAGGCAAATTAATTTGGTTGAAGATCTGTTGCTACCCTTTTGGAGAAAATGTAATTTTTAAACTGACTTTTAATAAAAGGTTTTGGTTTCTTTCACACTTTGTGTTTGTCCTTTCTGGCTGAATATTTTTATTATGTTGATATTGAAGTGGGTTACATTTTTGGTTGCTATTAAAGTGAGAAATACTTAAACTACTAAGTACTGAAGGCAAGGCAAAATTTTGTGCTATACTTGATTTCAAATGTGGTTTTCATTTGCAAATTATGCTCACTTTGTCATGACTTCCAATGAATTTTTATTCACTGGCTTGTTCATTCAGGTGCTTAATATGAGGGGTTTTCAGTACTTGGCCTATTGTCAGGGCCCTGCTGCTGAACTTTGTGAAGTTATTTTAAGATGGAATTGATACAAATTGAAGGCTGGGAAAATATGACAATAAAGGAGTACTTGAATGTTTTGTGTAACTTTTTTAGGTATGTTCTTTGGTTGTGTATGTTTTGGTTGTGGGTACAGAAACTTTTCAACATTATTTCCTTGACAACATACTTCCTAAACAGTCTCTTTGGTCTTAAAATTGTTCTGTGCAAGGGTCCAACCTGCTTCCCTGCTCTTGCATGTAGCCTTAGCAGGGCAATACTGTACCATGTGTTTGGGGAGAAAGAACGGGGTTGGTTTTGATATTGCTACAGATGACGTGTTAACCTTCGCAAATGAATTTCTAAAAACCCCAGTTTCCTTCCAGCTTTCTAGTGGATCAAATAGTTGAACTGTAGGCACTTTTCTCTAGGTATTTTACCTGAAACTCACAGTTGTCTTTGTTTTGTGCTGGAGGGCCAAGATGACACACTTGGTTCTGAGAGAACCTTGGTGTTCTCTTTGAAAACCCAAACAAACCCTCCTTCATTGTGTGTTTAGCAATTTGCCTTGCTCAGACTTCTTTGCAAATACCCATTTTTGCCATGATGAGTTGCTCATACCTGCTCCATCCAGCTGTTTTGATGGTACACACTTGCTCCAGCTTGGTTTTGCTGTGTCTTGTTTTGTGGTGGAGTTGGATACTGGGACCAACCTAAAGGGATCCCCATTCAGATGAGTGGATTTCCTTAGTGTTACCCAAAATTGCTTGGAATGGTCTTGCATTGTGGTTTTTCGGTTCTTGCAGTTGAGATGCAAGGGGTCTTATGTAAATAATTGTGGAATTCTTTAAAATGGACTGTGGCAATGGAGTGTTCCTAATGAAACCCCTTGTGGAAAGAGGATGGGTGGTTGGAGGATGCAAATGGCAGGTGTGTGTGGAGGAGTTGAAGGGGACTATGTTGGTTCTACTGGTCGAAGCCAATGGTTTTGGATTGTTGGGATGCTGTGCCATGAATGTCCCCGTAGAACCCCAGACTAGCCCATTACCCCTTTCCCCTCCAGTGGCCCCCCAGTGTCTGATGGCTCCGTATTGTTGTGATGCTTATAAATATCCAAGATGTCCTTGTGCTTCGAGGAGTTGGTTTTGCTCGTGGAAGACAAATGGTGGTTGGAATCAAGTGGTCGGGGTTGCTTGGATCACCTCCATTCCCTCAGTGGTACATCCTCTCAATTCCAGGAGGTTGTGTTGGAGATGTCCATTGATTTCCAGTTCTGCAGCTTGGCTATTGTGCAGCTTTAAAATTAATTTGTCATGTTAAAATCTGTTACAGACCATGAATGGGTTAAGAGAGTGCATTAAAAGTAACTGGTTTAATGAGCTTGGACTGACTTGATGCAGTGCCTTGGTGGAGCAGATGGAAATGGTGTGCCTGGTGCGTTTGAGTTGGTGGGGAAAACCACTAGGGAGGCGCTGTTGAGCTGGAGGGGAATATCGACCCTACTGGGCTGGATTGGGAGCGGGTGATGCTCCTGTCCCACACTGCCAGTGCCAGTGTTGGGAGGTGAAGGGAAGAGCTGTTGTCTGGGGATTGTGCCACTGAACTGGGGGGATGCTCCCCCTTGGGTGGGGTGACCCCCAGGGTGGGCTGTTTGGTGCCTGCATGGCTGTGAGCTCCACTCCCATGCCTTCAAAATGGCTTGTAATAGCACCACTTCCTGTCCAGGGAGGAAGTAATTTTAGCCCAGGCACTGAAATATTTAGCAAATCTTTTAAACAAAAGGCACAAATTCCATTTCTTTCTGGTTTCCAAAGGGTGCCTGAGCCACATGGGGTTAAGATGCCCCATGATCTGGGGTAGTTGGAAAGAGCCAGGGCTGTGGGGTAGCAGGCACCCTTTAGGTGGAGGCTCTCTCTTTTTTTGGTAGAAATGAAGGGGTGGGTCTATGGTACATCACCTGAGTTGTGGGGTAAATGTAGAGAGTGTCAATCAAAGGCAGAGCTCAGAGCTGGGAAGGAGCTCTAGATGGCGGCTGTGCCTTAGAGAGAGCGCGCTCAGCTCCGTGCCTTCCCCAACACTTTACGCAACTTTCCCTAACTTTCGGGCAGCCTCAGGGGGCCCCCACAGCCCCTTGCCTCTCCTAGGCACTAATCGGGGGCTGAGTGGACCTTTTTCGGGCAGAAAAGCAGCTTTTGAGGGCTCCCTTTTCGTGCCTTGCTGGAAAGAAGAAGCCGTGGAGAGAGCCCAGGTCGTTGTTTTTCCAGCTTAGAAGCCATGGCGTACCTCCATTTTTGTGCGCTCTCCTAATGAGCTTTTTCCCCCGGACATTTTTGTACTAATTATTGCTTCTTTTGCTTTATCGGCAGCATATTTTTGGGATTAGTATATATATTTTTTTTTCGTTTTCTGAAATTTGTATTTTATCGGTATAATTTTAAGTATTTTGGATCTAATGTTTTTCCACTACCCGAAACTAATATCGACTTGGTCCTGGCGGCGGTGCACGGATCAGGTAGGTGAGCAATTAATAATAATAATTTTTAGATATCTGCCGTTTTGTGTACTTTGATTTTCGACCGATTTCTGCTGTATTGGGATGACGCAATAAGATACAGAGATTATTTGCATCCAGTGTTACTTTGGGAAAGTTTGCAGGATGCTCCTCTACTGTGTTTATTCTCGGATTTTTCTTGTAAAAATGATTATTTGTTTTAAATCTCCGTGTTGCCGTGTTGATCAGTGTTGTGTATTGTTATAACAATATCATTGCAGCGTCAGGACTTTGTTCCTGATAATGAAAGCCAGTGAAACGAACTGGGACCTTACCTTTCTTTCAACTTTTGACAGTAAATACCTGGGCACAGGACTTCAAAGCAAACAGACACCCCTGACCCCCTCTTAATATTTTAAGAATAAAAAGATGATGAGAAATAAGGACAAAAGCCAAGGAGAGGAGGGTTCAGTCCACAGCAATGCATCGAGGTATGACCTATCAACTTTCTTTTTTTTTTTTTTTTGTAAAACCTGTGAATACCCTGTTTACTTTGACAGCCTTGGGTTACTGTCAGTGCTTAATAGAAAACATTTTACTGATTTTGCTTCCTTTTTAAGGAATGACCTTGAGATTGTTAGCATGCCACACCCTAATTTTTTTTGGTAGCAATTTCTGAAAGTTGTGTTGTGACTTAAGGGCCTATGTCCTAGGCAAAAGGTACTGTACCTTTATTCAGGGCAGCCCTTGCCTCTGTAGGATGTTTTTCCAGCTTTTGAATTTCAGTTTTTAGGTTTTTTGTGCTGTGAAAAATGACCTTGTCGGTTTAGCCATTGCTGCATTGCACCATTTTACATACAAGGCAAATTTTTCTTTGAAGAATCTCAGAAGTCTAAACTTTAACTGAGGGCCATACAGAAGCCTGGTGTAGTAGTAAATTATAGTAAATAGACACAAGAAAAAGTTACATGAATGAAAAAAAGCTCATTTTAAAATATAAACTGGAAAGTGCCTGTTTGTCTGATACCCCTTACTTCAAATTTTATTTGAGCTTGTAGAACTTTGATACTGTTGAGGTATTTTAGAGTATTTTTATACAATTTAACTAGACTTTGTCCTGCTGGTGATGGCATTTTGTATCATAAAATATACACTGGGACTGTTAACAAGAGGTACCAAATGCTTTGCTTGTTTTGTTTAATGTATTTTTGCTCAGTCTTTTTATTTACTTTTGTCGAGTAATGAGATTCTTTACAGAATTTTATAAACTTAACCTTGATGTGGGAAAAGCATTGAAATACTGGAAATGTTTGTTTGCTGGGAATGCACAATTACCAAATCGCTCATTTTGTATTTAAAGGGTCGGCTCTTTCAAAAATTGGAAATTATATGCATTTTTGTTTCTAGTTTGTAAATATTCTTGAGTTTTGCATTTTGTCAATTTTAATTGAATCATGGCCTGTTTCTTTTTCTCTGGTGTTGTCTTCAGTCATTTTTAACCAGCATCAATAAAAAAGAATTCTGAACTGTCTGTTGTATCACATGTGCTCTATGTGATGTTCAGGTGTTTGAATAGTATTTCTGATGTCTTGATTTAACCTTCCTTATGCACACGAACTTGAAATACTGTGGGAATACATATATTATCAAATTACTTTAACCTTTTAGTATAAACTTGGATGGTATTCTGGGTGTATTAAAATTGCAGTCAAATTTTAAGTCCTAAAATGGATATGGGTAAGTCTGTTTAATTTGAAATTATTATTAACTGAATTAGCCTCAGAGATTGTTGAAGTATTATATGTAGCACCTATACAGAGCTTTTCTAATTATGCAGTTTAAAAATACATCAGATTTTCAAGACTGTGCTTTCTTTACTGTAAATGCTGCACACAAAATACTGTGTGAAAAATTCACACTTTAAAAAAACGTATGATTCAGTTCACCTAAGTTTTTATGCTTTTTTTAAAGTGCAAATTATCAGCAGTAACAGGCATAATTGTTCAGGAAATCGAAAGGTATTTTTTTGTGTTAGAAATATTATGCTGAATAGAAGCTGAAATGGGAGCCACGTAGTCCCACAGGAAGAAGACCTCTGGGGTTTTGTCCTTAGGGGTATGGGATTTGCATAGTGTTTTAAGTGCTTTTGGGGTTTTCATTGAAAGGTTATTTATCATAATTGATCCATTTACATGTAACACCTGTTGTGTGAGGTTATCCTTCTCCCCCTTCACATCTTTTTTTCTCAAGATAAACTTGCTGTGGGTAACACCAACTCACCTGAAGTGTGGGAACAATTGAACACAGGATATATGCAAGTGAACCCTGTCGAGCTTATTTCTGAGCTGTGAGTCAGCTGAATGTCATAAAATGGGCTTTACTTCCTGAGGTTGACCTGAAGTTGTAGGGGAAATGATTTCTAGGAAGTAAAGCCTCCACTTTGCTGTACTGTAACCCAGAAATGCACTGGTGTGTGCACTTCACGTGCTGCTGAGACAGATTGGCATCTGTGGAAGTTGGTGAAGTCCTGTCACTGAGTCCCTGGTGGGAGGCCTGGGTGGTGAGGAGGTGGATGTGGCAGATGACATTCACCTGGAGAAGCAAAACTGCAGGACTAGAGAAGGGTGTTAAAGTGGAAGAAAATAGAATTCCTGTACACCACTGTAGTGTCCTAACTGAGGAGTGTGTCTGGAATTGACTCCCACCTTTCCAGTCCTAAGGAAATGCAAAGTCCTGTCTGAACAAATACCTGAGGATTGTCCCAAAGCAGAAGATTGTTCTTGGGTGGGAGATGGTGTTAACTCTTTGCAGTTTGTAAGCTGAGGGGTGTACTCGCTTCCTTTCCAGATAACCAGCAGCAACTGCCCTTTGTGCACTGACAGTAAATCCAGACTTGGAGCTGAGGGATTTCATGCAACTTTCCCCACATGGGGTAGAAGTTGCTGTGGGTCTGCTGCAGTTCCTGCTGACCATCACCTATGTGCCTGGGGCTTGCATTAAATAATTGAACACAATCTGATGTCTTTTCTAGCGTCTTCTGTGCTGTGTTTCTGAGAGGCAGGTCGTGTGAAGGTACATCCATGGACAGCCCTCACTGGAATTGCAAAGCCAGAGGCAGGCGGGAGTCTCCCTGAAGCTGAGTTTTGGAGTGGTTTTTGAGGGATAGCAAGTAACAGGCAGGGGATACGTTGTTGTTTTCCTTTCCTTGGCCTGCATCTGTTGCAGTTGCTCTCCCACCTCTGCAATATCCCATGTGGGACTGGTTTCTGCTGCAGAAGCTGCAGGGCTGGACAAGCCTTTGTATCTGTATCCAGCTCTGAGCTGCTTTAGCATTAAAACAGCTTGTTCTTTGGAAAAAAAAGGTCGTGGTGGGGTAGCTGTCAGCCCATTTTCTGAGCAGAGAGCTGGGGGTCTGAGGTCTGAAATGGCGTTTGTTTGCTCAGCAGCCGCCTCCCAGAGCAGGGCTGTGCAGCCTTCGCACAGCACAACACCCTGCCTGACGTGGCAGCCATTTTATGGAGATGTCTGTACATACGAAACAGCATTTGGCGAGGGGGGGAGAGCAGGGAAATGAACATGTACAGCAAAAACTGCCGTCCCTGGCTAACGCTGGGAGCCGAGGGCACCCCTTTGTTGTTCGGGGAGCGCTCGGGGAGGGCTGCAGCGCTGTCGCGGCGGTGCGGGAGCAGCGGAGTCACAAAATGGCTGTTCTTTGTGCCGCACTGACGGACGCGCCGGAGCCGCGGGAGCCGTGCGGGGGTTCAAAGGCCGCCCTGGGCCGGCCGCGCCGCCATTGGCTGCGCGCGGGCTGCGCGCGCAGCGCTCCCGCGGGAGCGGCAGCGGGATCGGGATCACTGCGCCGGGAGCGGCTCCCCCCGCTTCCTCTCATCTGCCGGGCGTGGGCTTGCATTTAATTTTTTTTCTTTTTAATAGTGCAGGCTATTTTGAGAAGTGACTTGATAAAGAGCAGGGCTATTTTTGGTGCTTTTTTTTTTCTTTTTAAACTTCAAAAGGAATTGCAGAATACCGTAGTATTCCTGGAACATGTTTTCTTTTGTTTGTTTTGTTGGTTTTTTTCAGTATCCCTAAATTACTAAAACTCACTGTTAGCTTTCCACGTGTATTTTTTCAATGGATTTTCTTTGAGATGAATAGAAGCATTAAACGCAATTATTAAAATCCTCTAACTGTGGGTTTCAACTTTTTATCCAGCTGATGGGTTATTTTTTAGCTGTTGTGGCCATCGTGCGCGTCCCCGGGCTTTCGGTTTCATTTGCACTGCTGGATTCTTTAGCGAGGATTTTTTTTCCCTCCCCCTTTTCAAGCTTTAACCCTTTATGAAACTGTCAGGAGCCTTTTTTGAAAAGGGAAAACCCTTGATCAGTGCAGGACACAAAAGGAATAATGTGCAAGGAATTCATATGAATCGTGATGTAATCTGTGTGCAGCACAAAGGAGATTGTTCTTGTTTTGCTTTGTTACTTCTGTTTCACATTACCCTCATGGAGGAAATGTCTCATCTAATTACGCATGCACAATCCTGAGGCTTTCAATTCCTCTGTTCCCTGTTTCACGATTGCTGCCAGGGATGGATACAGTATATACAGAGCTATAAAAAGGGCTCACCAACTGCAAGAAGGCTACATTTAGCTGGAATTCATTACCTTCTGGATCGTTCTTTTTTAGTTAAACATCTTAAGCTAATTAAACAAATTTTTATGTTTTCTCTAAATGCATGAGTTTTGCTGAATAAAAATGGAAAAAACAGGAATCAAGAGCTGACCTGGGTACTTCTGTAACCCTGCCAAAGTGTCTGTGTGGCACAGCATGTGCTGGGCTGGGGCGCTGCCGTAGCTGAGAGCACGTGTTGTGTGCAGGCGTGTTCCTGCCACTCCTGCCCAAATCCACCGGTGCCTTCAGCCAGGGGACGGTGACAGGACTTAGATTGTAGATGAGAGTCCGTTACACTTTCTTTCGGGTTGGTGTTTCACCTGCTTCTGAGTGCAACACTTGCCCTTATCTGCACCTTCCCCCACTTCCTACACAAGCTGGAGCAGAGCTCTGCCGTGGCTCAGGGCTGGCATTTCCAAGAAACTGTTCCCACCTGCTGTGCCTTGGGCTACAATAACCACACTAATTTCTGCATTTAAAAAAAAAAACAAACCCAAAACATTTCCCCTGTTAACTTTGAGAGGGCTCGGAGGGTTGGACAGGAAGGCAGCAATGTTTAATCTCTCCAATTTGGTATAGGGGTAAACCAGTTCCTATATTTTTCACGTTTCACACCTCAGAAAGCTGTTCATATGATTAGCAGGTTCCTGAGTTGCTAAACTTGTCTTTGAGGAATTTTTATACTGGCACTTCTCTTGATTCAGACCTATTAGTGCTAGTTTTGAGGAGCAGGCAAGGGTACCAGTGGCAGATGCAAACAAGTCATGAGGTGAAGTCCCCGGGACTGTGAGCTGGAGCATAGGGACTGAACTGAAACTTC